ACAAAAAGGAAATAAGGCTCTTACTGAGTTCTGGCTTCTTACCATAATAATGAAACTTACCTAAAAATAGCAAATTTACTGAACAGAAAATTTGATTTCATACTGAGCTCCTTTGCATCATGCTGAGATCAACTTTTTTTTCCCTTGAGTTGTGTTTTTCAGAATTTCTTTTCTTTAAAATTACTACCTTGTCTTTGCAGCACAGTTGGAAGTGACTTTTCTGCAGCTCCTTAGCTACCTGCATTTGCTTGGGGGTGGAGGTCAGGGCAGGGGGAGATGGTTAGTGGAGTGCTGCTATCTGAAAAGCCTCAGTCAATCAAATTTGCTCCATAGTATTTTCTGGATTGTAATCACAAGTTCAGTTTCCGGAAATTGTCTTTTTAATGTCTAAAATGTTAAAATAGCACACTTCGGTCTTTGAGCCATGGAAATAAATTTGCTCTATGTGAGTTATATCTGAGTGCTATGTTAAAAGATCAGTGTAAAAAGAACTTGTTTTTGTAGTCACTTTTAAAAAAAAGATGCTTTTTAAAATTCATAATCATAGTGACGTTTAATACCACATACTCTATCTATGCAAACCCTTCCTGTATCTTCTTTAAAAGGATATTCAGAGTAAAAAAACGGGTATGTTAATAGCATTAGTTTCATAAAATAAGAAATTATTCATGTATCATTGTCCACAAATGTCAGTGATAACTTACCAGTGTCAGAACAGAATTCAGAAACAGATTGCCAATTAGTAGCAACCAAATATTGGTTTAAATTTAAAATGAAGTAGGCATTTCTTTTAAACCAGCATGTTTAAAAATGAAGTTAGGAGTTACGAATGTAGAAAGTGCTGGTACAGTGTAGATACATCTCTTGTTTTTAAAAACAAGTCTTCACGAAATTAAGTGCTCTTAATCATTTTTCACCCTACCAGATACTGAGTGACCTGTTTATATAATTGATTGTAACTGTATTGGCTTCCATAATGTGTTCCTTTACCGCTGAGATTTTCCAAAGGCTGGAATACACTCTGTCCTTTGTTTCCAGACTAGTCTCAAATTTCTACCTGACTGGAAATGAAATAGACTATCCTGCTGACACTTGCTTTTATAAAAAGTACTGTTCCTCCAGAAAGTAAGTCCCCTTGAGTCAACCTGCGATAAGCTAAATGAAAGGGGGGGGAGACAAAAGGGAAAAAAAAACAACCAAAAACTAAACCACCCTCACAAAGTTTTGGTGATAGTTGCATAAATTGGCAATGAACTGGTATCCAGTCAGAAGTTCCTGTTTAAGACAATAGGTAATTGGATGTGGTGTTAGGGAAAGCTGAGGCCAGTCTGGGAATGTTATGTTCTTACCTAGTAGACTCTCTAACCTGTGGGCAACTGTATCTGAGCAAGTCACCACAGGTTTTCTCTTTCTAGTTAATGCAGAAGAGCAGGATGTGTCTAGGTGGATTCACCTGGCCTCTTCCAAGCTCTCTATTTGCACCCTAGAGTTTATTTTTCTCCATTAAATTGAGGTGGGAATCTAAGTAACTAGCTCAGATGTGAATAGCTGTGTTTAGTAAATGAGTATCCAAATCTTCTGAGTAATTGTATATACTGAAAGAGTGTAGTTTTCGGTTGGCCATTAATTCCTTGCTTTTTAGATAGACCTGCAAGGGCTAGAACCTGTAGACTCACTTGTGTGAGGAATGCTGTACACCTGGGATTTATCTGTATTGTTATATATTACAGTGCCTAAAGCTTTAGGCAGGATTTTCTAATGGAAAAAAAAATTGTATTGTCTGTGCCACCCCAGGAAGGACCTGAGTCTCAGAAATGTTTCTTCCTTTTTTCCCCTCACTTTGTGGGGAAAGTGAATTGCTTCCAACCTCCTTCTGGGGATGCAACTTGCTATTTTGTGTTTTTTTCCACCTGTGCCTGGCTAAAATCTACAGACACTGAAGCAGCATCATGCACTTGCTCATGAGACAGGAGAGAGATTTGGGTATGCAAATCCTGGATACCTGCTCCTTGCAGCCCTCACTGGCACAGTGCAGGCAAGGTTAATTCTTTTGGGTAAGGACATAAAGAGATGGGAAGCTTTTCTTCTCGTTTGTGTCATGGAAACACAGGAATGCAACTGAACAGCAAATTCTGCATTTGGGGAAGTTCTGTTGCACTCGAAGGTGCATCTTGCTTAGTGATCAAATATGGAAGGTGTTTCATTTCACTATCATTGTAGAAATGGGACATAACATTTTCATGTAACAAATCTGGTTGAAACAATTTTCCTGTCACCATCTTTTTTTACTGTATTTAATGTACATTCTGTGACTGTGCTGCCTATAAAGTTTTGCTGTGTGGGTTGGATGACTTAGTTCTTTATATGTTCAATTAAATTTTAGAAATTTACAGCTGTTTTTATACTAAAGAATAAGGTTAGTTACACTGTCCACAACCTGTAAACTATTTTAAATTCCAGCTCCCTGTTGGAGATCAGCTTGTCAACATTGTCTGTCATTCATTTCAGAGTAACAGTACATTTCCTTGTACAAATGACAAAATGATTGTAATCCCAGAGGTAGCGAGAAGACAAAGACAAAAATGTTTAATTGTTCCTAAGTCAAGAAGACTTGTGTGAAATGGTAAAAAAAGACTTGGTGCAAACTGCATAGGTAAAAATAGAGCACTGTTGTGAACAACTTGCTCTTCAATTGAGGAGAAAGGTCAGAATATAGATTTAAAACAATGAAATACAGAGACTTCTGTAAGCTGGAATAATAAGTGTTTTCCTACTTTTCAGCTGATGAGCTGTGCTGTCTGTCATTATATGTGCATGAAATACACTGTGCCACACTTTCTTGAGTTGTGTTTTGATGGTTGGGTTGCCTTTCTCTGACCTTGCTTTGTGCTTTTCTGGGAAATGACCTGTAATGTGTTGTAAATAATCTTGATGCTCATGTTTATAAAGTAGCAATCAGCAATTCATCACTTTCCAATTTCTCCATATAGCTACCCTATTAAAATGTAATATTTATTAAAATCAAAACCAATGTTGAAACTGCTTACTGAGATCTAAACACTTCTGAATCTTTGCTATGTTTGAATCTACAAGATGCAAATTAAAGTATTTTCTGCTACAACTTGTTTTTGTGAATGTAATTTTTGGGGTTTCATTTGAAAATACATTTTTTGCTTTTCATTTACCCTTCAACTACACTTGGTAGATATTATATAAATTACATTATTTTTATGACATTCATTTAAGCTTAAGATGATGAGCAGATTTTCATCTCACTTCACTTTCATTCAAAAGATGAAGGTAACCTGTGTATCTGTTGCTGTTTACAGTGCACTGTAGTGTGTCTGCACATCAGAAATCCATTAGCCCCTCTTTAAGACCAGTTGTTTTAAGAGACAAAAAGGCTTATTTTGAAATGAAGCTTGTTCTGTCCCTTTTTCGTAATAGCTTATAAAATCAGATCTGTAAATAATGTTTTTTGGTTGGTTCAACCAATGGGATTCTTTGTGTTGAAATTATTTCCCTGAAGGGTTTCTGCAGCTCTCTGTTTCTTTCCATGTATGCATTTTTAACAAATTATCTTACTAAAAATTTGATACACATATTCCATCCCCAGTTTAGGTGGGTAAGTACCTGTTACGCAGGTGATGATAATTATAGTGATTTAATTTAAATTTAAGGTCTTACCTGTCAGTGTTGCTTTAGTCTCTTGTGTTTGAGAGTATTTAATTCGTTACTATGGTTGGTTATAGTCACTTGTCATTCCACTTTTTTGCATGCATATACTGTGGTATAGGGACTAAACTTGTTTTTAAGTGCAAGATTCTCTTAAGTTTTTGCTGTGCAGTTGTATATTCTGTGAGGGAAATGTAATTCCTGCAGACTTCTCTTGCACTAGGTCTTGGGGAAGTTTTGTACGAACATGATTGTAGAACTTCAAAGGGTTTAATAAAATTTCTGTTCTCTCAACCCCGTGGCACCTTTTTTAATCTCTTACTGATAGTTTAATTGGCTTTTTTTCTTAAATGCACATGCGTGAAGAAGGCAATGGAAGCTTTGGGAGGGCAAACAGTTTACTTCTGCTGGAGGCAAGGTTCATGCTTTGACTTGAAGACCCTAAAGACCAAAGAACCTGTGGAAGACTCAACGTGTGAGTGTGGCACTACTATGCTTTTGGCTTTCAAGCAGATCTGATCAGATCTATTCCCCATCCCTTTTTTTTTCCCCTGTAGATACTTGGTGAAATGTACATAAGAATTCTTGATTACTTGGGCTTCCTGAAGTTGAGCATGAGGAAAACATGAAGCCTGTCCACCATTTGGGGCTACTGTAGTACACCTCAACATGAAGGAACTACTTTTATTCTAGTAATCTAGTAAAAATTGCTAGAAGTACTACATTTTTCTCAAGCGATGTGTGGATTGAGTTACAGTATTTGTTTTACACGGGGAAGGAGAAAGACAGTAGGGCTGCAGAGTTCTTCACCATCGAGCACTGGGCACAATAAAAAGACCTGAAGTGAAGTCAGGGTTTCTGTTTGCCTTGGATTAGGAATAATTACTTCTACGCTTGCTCTGTGCAAATTTTGCATCCTGGAATGGTATTTATCCAGCATTTCCACCACAACCCACTACATTACCCCTGAAGATACATGGCTGAAGCACAGATTTGCTGACCTTCTGCTCATTATGTAGAAAGGTGCACTCCAGGTTTTTTTGCTTTACATACTCCTGGCTCTTGTTCTATTCCCAGACTGCACTTCTTGGGTTCTTGATAAATAGTTAGGCAGGTACATACTGTTAGATATATCCCTCTCCCTGGCTAGGCCTTTGACTTACTCTTCTACATAATATACCTAGATCTAATTGATGGAGAGGATCACATAACTTTATTTTTTCAAACATAGACGTTTTCAGGCTGTTTTGCAGTTCACAATGCTCCACTTGGAGCAAATGCCCATCTTTACTCTTATGTGACAGTCCCTAGATCTGCTGAGAAGATACAGTTTTCCTACTTTATTAGAAGAAAGCGGTGTACAGATCACTTTTAGCCTCCAACTGTTATGCCACACTGAGTAAGCAGTGATATCTAAGGAGTAAATTGTGCTCTGAGAACCTAGCAGTAACTTGAAAATACAGTATTTAATTGGGTTGGCATTTTTTCCTTACAGGCTTTTATGTGCATGTAAGAATTGCAACTGTCATGCATTTGAAAAACCCATTCATGTGTTTACAGTATATTCATCATAATCATATATTTCTAACCTAGTACACAGTGTAAAAATAAAAATACTTAGAAAATAATTATGCTGTTTCACTTCATGAAATTTGCTCTTTTAAAATGAGCATAAAAATGATTAAATTATACTTTCTAACAACTCTATTCAAAGCCAAAAACACCATGGCTTGGAACAAGGTAGTAATTGGAACAGTCTTCAAACTTTAAATCATTAGCTTATACTTCTCCTTGAACTATGGAAAGCTCGTGGCAAGATTCTTCATTTATTCTGTGCATAGGAACGCTTCTAAAAACCAAAAAGGTGAGGAAAAGTTGCTAAGCTTTGTTTTTCAGAATATCAGTTTTAATATCGGAATGTCTTGGAATGCTGTAGTTGATTGATGTTATACAGGGCTTGGCCGGTCTGCATCCAGTGCTGGATCTTGTTGGAGGGATCCTATGTAAGCCATGAAGCTGTTGTTCTGATGGCTCCAGTCGTAGTAGTCTGGAGAGAAACTTAGAAAGAAAACAGAAGAATTAGCGCCTGGCACTAATTAGAACCTGGTTGGTTCTGTAGATACCTGTGGGAAAAATGCAAATCACATAGAGGAGGTTCTCATGCTGAAGTGCAAAAATAAGATATACCCCCAACCAGGGGTTCAGGCAGCCGTTTATTTTTCTGATCTGTTAATTATTTTGGCTCAAGTGTTCTCAACTTATTACGTGTCTCCTGATTCTCCCAGTTCACTAAAGACCCTTTCCTTTCTGACTCATTGTTCCAGAAGGTGTTTGAAAATCTCAGAAATGATGCCTCTCATCCCTGCCGAGTCCTGGCACTGTGAGCCCTGTCAGTGACAGAACTAAACCTCCTGTGTCCATGCCCAAGGGACTGTGATTGGTTAGCAACTCTGGGGTGCTGGCATTTCTCCCATGAGCAGTGTGAGACTATGTATGTGGCTGGCTTGGTTCCCACTGGGGGCTGTGCATGTTACCAGTGTGGCTGGTTCCCTGATGGCTCTGTGTGGGAGGGGAGGGTGCCTCTAGCTCTAGGCTGGATACCAGATTGGCAAACACCACCTCCAGCATCCTCTTGGGTCTAGTTACTAAGTGAAAAACTAATGAATGCAGGGGTAGGATGATTGATAATTGTAAATAGTGAGTATTTAACTTTACTGAACCGTAGTCTGGGCTCAGAGACAGTGACCACACAGTCTCAGCTAAATGAGTGCTAAGAACTAGATCTGGGTATGTAACCTATGATTAACAAGTTAGCTGGCATTTTAAGATGAGTGATTATGCTAATCTATTCCTGGCATAGTGTAGATACAGGAACAGCAAATGCCTGAGCCTCCTTTCAGAACAGGATAGAGTCCTGGAAGTGCCTTTCCTTCTCTGAATTAGGTGCGATCATGGTTGGCATGAGCTGCTCCTTCCTGGATGGGAATCCTTACCTAAAGCTCCCAGTTGCACAAACTGAATTTTTATGTCAGCTCTGGGTGGTGTGGCATTTCAGCAGTTAGGTGGATTTTCCTAAGCTTTCAGCATGTGGGAAAGCAAATGCTCCTTTCATTTCAGGTACCCCTCAAGACGTTTAGCCATGTTACAGGGCAACCTAAGTTGAGAGGCTTCTTACTGCCACCATCACAAGCTGCTGCCTGTGCTGTTGAGCTCTTTCCTGCTCCCCCTGAGCAGGGAAACAGCTGTTTTTCTATGCTGCATTGCTCACACACTTGAATGAGTAAATGGCACTTCTTAAAAGCCACTCCTGGAAGAAACAGAGGGTGAAACATGCAACCCAAAGATCTGACCTGCATTTTTCAAAGCACAGCATGCTCCTGCCATTCTTAAACTATGTAACTGTTTTCATTCTTGTGAATGATCCCTACAGTCACTCAGTGCTACTTTTCCACTACAGCTTCCCCATTTGCTTCCCCTCGCCCTCCCAGGGATTTATGCAACAATCGCAGCTAGACGATTTACATCAGTGTTTTGCAGTGTGTCAGAGTTGTTCCTCCTCCGGTTTCTGTTTCAGGAAGTAAGCAGTTCCCTCTTGTATCTCACCTGCCCTGTGCCCCCTGTGGCGCAATGTTCCACGCTAGATCGTCATCACTGTCATATCTGCGAGGGTTGTCAAAGAAGTAAGATCTGGGACTGAAGCCATGGCTTGGGACCATTCCTGCACTGGCCTGAGGGAAAGGAAACCTCAGTCAGTACTTGCACCAGATGGATAAACTTCTTGGTGCTTGACTTCTAAAAGAAGTCACTGCAGACTTACCTCCTGGTTTCCAAAATAAAGCAGACAATTTAACATTTACTGTACACAATAGAAATAATTTTGCATTCTCTGTATGTCTCTATCAGTATAGTGATAGTCTACTGCTCTCAACAGCTTTTCCTTATCCTCATTTCTTTTTTGACACATGACCCATTTCTGAAACCACCCTCCAGTCTGCGTTTAATCTGTCTGCTGAATTCTGTCCATCCTTTGGCACTTTGTGCTTTTAGCCAGCTGACTTGAAGTGAGCAGTAGGGAAGCAGCTGAGAAGCTGAAGAATATGAAACACCTAAAGAGATTTGATTTTACCTCCCACATTGGTCACACTCTCTCCTGGTGCCTTATGTCCCTTGCCTCAGGGATGGATGATTTGAAGCTTGGCACCCTGCTTGGTGAAACTGTGCTTGAAAAATCCCTTAGGACCTCGCTGAACAATTTCAGTATCTACTCTATAGTGCTGTGAGGGTCAAAACCCAAGGTCAGGTCCTTTAATAAAACAGAGAAAGGGGCGTACATGTAACTCCTTTATTTACAAAGCATTTTCCTTTTATTTCCTTGTCAATCAAAACAAAAGATACACAAGATTCAAAAGGTCAGTTTGATTCTGGAAACAGTGCAGAGGAACATCTAGAACCCAGCTGAGCCTTATCCACTGATCCACTGCTTCCATCCATTGGGGACAGGGTTCCCTGCACCTGTGGATAAGCCAGGAAGATATCTTCTCCCTAGCCTTAGGCAAGAGAGCATTAACCTCCCCCTTTATTTTAGATATTAAATAACTTTGATAGAGATGAAGTAAAGATAGGTACATCTCTGTCGTGAGCCCATTTACAACATTTGTCTGACTGAAGGTAAGGAAAGGCAAAGGGCCACACGCTGCAGTGACCCTGTGTAAGCACCAAAGCTGACAGACAGCTCTTTCTAGGCTATAATCGTCTGTGGAAAGGAGCCTCACATTTGAACAACGCTGAACTCAGGATGCTTCTACTCAAACTTTTTGTTTCTGAAGTCCTGAATGAAACATAAAACCCAAGAACAACTATTTCTCGGGGTTTTTCCTTATTAAAAATAAAGAATATTTTGGATTTTTACTAAATCAAAGTTGTTGTTAAGGTTTTTTTAACTAAAGGAGGGTTTGTTTTAATTCTAACACCATGCTTTCTGACTAAGTATTTTCAATAAGTATTAACTTAACCGTTAACAGCCTCCTGAACGCATTAGCCTAAAGTTCTGCGGCCCTTGGTCTCCCTCTTGTGGCATCCTCGCACTGAAGTTCAGTTTTCCCTTGCTACAGTCTCTTAATTTTTTGTTTCATTCTAATGTTGCTTCTGGTTTTCCTCTTAATATTTGTCATATGCAGAAAAAAAATCTATAGATGACCTAACACATACGACAGATAATGTCTACCCTAAAAAAAGGTACCTATAAAAGAAGTGATATCACTGACTGGCTCTTCTGAACTGTATCTTTATGAAGTTGGAGATTTAAGGCTTTCTGCAAATCACAGTGCAGAAATATAATGTTATATGTGTTACTGCAGTGCTCTTTGACTTGTGAAAATACTGTCTGACTCCATTTGAACTCTTATTTGAGTAGGATTCCAAGTCTTCATATGATCAGCTTTTTGAAAGGAGTGATTAGACTGCATCCCTTATTTTCATACTCTTGTGATCTCCCACACACTATCCAAACTTGTCCACCAGGTCTAGCCTTACTAAACTCAGTTTAAATAAAATGAGATCTCTCTGTGGTCACTTTTTAAAAGAGCAGCACCACTGGCCTGTACTTAAAAACATTTCTTGTCTTGGCAGTTGTCCTGTCCTAAGCAGAAGTGGGGCTGAGGTATTTTTGGTGATGGACACTGGAGTCCCTGGGGTTTCTTAGTGCAATGTCAGGTATCACTTTCTTGTTCAGCTTGGTTTCATCATTGTCTCTGAAATGTTCATATGAGGATAAAAACCATCACCTTGTCCAAAAAGTTATTCTATTATTTGCTTCTCTTACTTATGTGTTTACTATTGACATCTTTTTTTGGGAATAGTAGCTTTGGTTTGGCTTGGCCTACACAAAGAGAGACACTACCTCAGTCATCCTAGCACACGGCTGGTATTCCCCACGTGCCTGTCAGCCAGCATGTCCTATGCTAACCTGGAGACATTGCCTACAGCTATAAAAAGATGCTTGTCCATATATTAACTACGTAGATATTAAGAATACTTACAGGGAACTACGCTTACAACTCACACCTTAATCTCTGCTCTGCTAAAATGGCAGAAAAGTCACCAAGTGCTTGTTATGGCCACTGCTCTTTGACTTAGAAACAATTCCATGGCTGAAATAGTTCCGTCTCTTATTTCACACATACCATTGAACAGTTAGCACACAACGGTTTTCACTGCCATGTGATGAAACATCCCAAGTTTGGATAACAAACTCCTTTTCCACTGACTCCAGTAAAGTGCTGTAGAAACTTTTAAGTTTAGGGAAAGATGTCGCTAAATTTAAGAAGGTTCCTGATTTTTAGGGTAAAATGCCTGAGAAACACCTTGCCTTCCTCCTTGGTAAATCTGATGAGCTTCTTTCATGAGGAGTTAGCATAAAGAAGTGGGAAGTTTGGGTTGCTTTTATTCTGTCAAGGACACTTTGAAAAAGAGAAATCAGAATGTAAATAAACAAAAGCTCCTTCAGAATCCGAGCCCTCCAGACTTATCTGGACATTACACTAACAAATACCCTAACACATTCCACTTACTAGATCTTTTGTAGGGTTTCGGACGCGGAAGAAATACACAACCAAGGAAGTAGGCAAGAGCTCCCAGATGAAAAGGATCACTCCGAATACTATGTAACCTGCATCTCCCAGCTGACATTTCAGGTCTGCCTATTGAAAAGTAAAAGAGAAAAGTGTTTACAAATAAAATTGGTAGCTCATTTAAAGGTCCAGGATGCAACGTGTTTTCTTATGAAGTTCTGTATTTAAGTGGCTGAAATGCTTGACAATATGGCCAGAAATTCCATTCAGTAGAGTCACATTAACCTGGCTAATGATTAAAGGCATACTAGAAAAAGCAATATGCTATCTTGGGTACATGACTTCCCTTTCCTTCTACCTTTCTTCCTCCTCCTATCTTTCCTTCAGCAAAATTGAAGTTTAATACAAGGGTCTTCCCAGTCTAAAAGCCCAGCAAGCAACCATTTGATTAAGTAACCAAATCCAGTAATGAGAAACTAGTTTTCCAGTCCTTTTACAGCTGGGAATAATAGTAAAGGAACAATCAATGTTCAAGGGCATTGCTTTTAAAAATGAAAGGGTTGGCTCTCTTCAAATTGGTGCACACTGTAAGCTTGAATAACCCTGCTGTTACTGTAGCATTACCTTTGATCTTCTCTCTAGATTTCCACCATTCCCTATAGCAACAGAGGGCAAATCCTGTCCTTTCATGTGTTTTGGACAGAAGAGGAAAGCGTGTTTCTGACTGGTGACCTGAGGCTATACCAAAGTACAAACACTGGGCTGTAATTTTAAAAGTTACTTTTGATTCTAGTACCAAATCGAGTACCCGCTCCTGTGTTCCAGACCCTTTACATATAGTTCAAATAATTTACTCCAAAATTCATGCAGCTCTAATGTCACAAGTCAGAACAGACATTCAAAAAATATAGTAGTGGCCCAAGGCCTAAAGCGTTCCATTGAGCTCCCTATGAACAACTTCTGTCTCCACCGGAGAAACAGGACAAGTAGTCTAGCCATAAAGTTCCAACCCCTTTGCTCCAGACTGCAAGAGTCAGCACAAGAATTGTCCCCTGCAAGGGGTCAGCAGGAGCAGCAGCAACACTCCAGGCCTCAAGACGAGGGAAAATGTTTGATTCCAGAGACAAGTCAGAGCCTAGTGCCTTTCTGCCTAAACCTGTGTATTTTAATTACACAGACTGGCAACTCCTAGCTGCCCTCCTCCACACCTCAGCAGGGTTGATTAGAGGTCCCTTGACAGACCCTGCTCAACTAACTCATAATGAGGTCCCCTGGGCAATCCTATCCTACTGTTTACCTACTTCTGAATTACAGTTTTATCTACTGCTTAACAGAAAGTTGTTAATGGCTCCAGGTTTGCTTGGCCACCCTGGCAATACAAGGCCCTTGCACGGCTGGGAACACTGCTTTTTGTCTGCAGGTGCTTGCTGAGAGAGTGGGGAGACATCAAGTGTCTGAGATTTTGAGGCTAAAGAAAAGATACTCATGATTCAGACCCAGCCCTGCCATTTTGCCTAGCCTTGACATAGCTGGAAAAATACTGGGACCTAACTATATGTTTCAAAGCAGAGAAAGAAGCTAGATGCCCAAATTTCATAAAATTCAACAAAAAATCCCCCATTATTTCCTTTAGTGTTTTTGTCACTATTAGTTTTCAATCAAAATTGTTACTTGCAATTAAAGGTTAGGAAGAATCTTAGCCTTATCCTCAAAGTACAGAAATTATCATGCTAATGACAGAATTAAGGTAAATAGCTCCACAGCCTGGATGGCAATGGGAGGTTTTATGATAATTTCAGAACTGAGCATTTCACTGGAATTAAGTACTGTTTTTCTGCTTCTTCAAGCAGAAATAATGGACAAGATACCAATCTTTTTTAATAAAGAGTACTTTTTCTTCGGACAATAAGATCGACGTAAATAAAAAATTGATTAAAAAAATATTTGGCTGGTCATTACTTCTTTCTTTTTTAGCACTGAGTTAGAGTTTTTATTCTCCTTATACCAAAATCACCAGAAATTTGCATTTCTGGAGCAAAACAATCTTAGGGCATTGAATAAAAGAAAAAAAATAATAGAACTTGAATATATTTATTCGTCTTGTCATAGCATTTAAGAAATCAATCATCACATACAGAATGAGATTTTCTCATTAGCAAATATTTTCATACTTGCCTGATCTGATACATTGTACCAATCATAATCAAAAGAGTTGACTTTCTTGGTTTGGGAAAACGATAGGATGAACAAGTTGTAACAGGCTCGTGAGGTATAAAGTAGTATAACTGTCACTCCTATACTTGTCACCTGACAGACAGATGAGCCCTGGAAGAGATTTAAACACAGGTTATTATCCATAAGAGAAGTTGAGAACAACATTGTTTTCCATGGACTTCGAGGGCTGTCACACTGTCTAATGCAACTGACTTTTTCCTCTCCTTGTTTGGTCAGTATATCCTATACTATGTATATTCCTGTATTTTGTCGGTACAGTGGTTTCCAGGCAATTGTAGCAGTTCCAGCCCTTAGCAAAATGGGCTGCAACTAATTCCTACAATTTAGTGAACAAGTGCTATTTTCAGAGCCATGAAAACACATAAGAACCACACTTGGTATCAGGTGGAGTGAGAGAATTCAGCCTTCAGGTCTGCATTAGCTACAGACCATCCTGTATCAAGTGCTGGCTAGCTGACATGATGCAACCTTGCATCTTTTTACAACTACTTGCTGTGTTCCTCTTTCCTAAGTACAGAGTAGGTCATAACAGTCAGCAGTTAAACACAGCACAGACAGGAACAGAACATCCTGCCTTAACTAATGTCAACACAGAGGGGGCAGACAAAGTGGAAGCATGGCCTGTGGGCAATGACCATGGCAGGGCAGTCTCAGTGGCAGCTTGGGCACAAGGGGAGGGATGGGACTACAAGTGTGAAATCACAACAGTTCCTAAGCCCTAGAGAGAAAACTCAACTGAGAAGGGAAAAGAGCCTAATCATCAGTGAGAGGAGTAAGTGAGATAGCTGACCGCTATATCATGTGGAGAGGGTCACTGCCTGGGGCTGAGAAACCAGCACAGCAGTTGTAGAAGGAAGAAAGGCAGGAATCCAGGAGCCATGGCTACAGGAATCTCTATGAGGCTGATCACAGAGCAGGCAGATGTACAAAAATGTGACTGGCTTTGAAAGAAGCTCAATGTTTTTGCAGTTGGCTCTGGAAGAGTGCTTTGCCCAGCCAAAGGAGGGAAGATGGGTTAAAGCTCTGTGTGCTTTTAGAAGCAAGTTCCCTTTGCTTCACTAGCCCTGCCCTCTCCTTCTCCTGGCAAACACCCACACAAGGACAGGCTCCTCTCATTTCTGTGAGAGAGAGAGAGGCCAAGAGACAAGTTGCTCCTCCCACCACAGTATTATTTATACCAGTGCTGGAGACTGGAAAGTCTGCATCCTATTCCCTCTGCTCACACATTCTGCTTCCAGGTTTGCAGCCAAGGAGCAAAGGTCCAAAGTGTTGTAGCAGATAGATCAGACATAGTAGAATAGCTAGTGAAGTATCAGGGAAAGTCACCAAGGCACTATGTCCTGAATTCCTGGCCTTCAGGAGACTACCAGGGCTCCATTGCTGCTCACCCATGCTGCTGGCTATTGCCCCTGCGGCTCTGTCAACCCAGTTCCTCAGTCTGCACTCCCCAATGAGTGTAAGTTGAGTAGCTTGGGGATTAATCAGAAAAGCTTGCATAAAACTAGCTTGCCTATTTTCCCAGCAAAACAGCATTGATTCAGGAAACAGTCAAGCTCAGAAGTATTACAGAATCCCCAGTGCAGTCAATGTCTCTGAATTCCTGCTTACAACATGCTGGAACTATCACCTCTCACCAGGCCACAACCTGCAGCCATGACAGGAGTGAACCAAGAGGCTGCTGCTACACAGCAATTGAAGCCAGATCCATAGTAGGCAGCGGTGAAAGCTGTGACAAAACCAGAAAGCCAGAAATGCCTCAAAGAGGAAATGTTTGCTAGGCACTTCTCTGTTCTCCTTCGACACTAACAAGTCAGTGATGCTGTCATGGAAACGGAGGGTGAGAGAGCAGAGAGAAGCTGCTGACTGGCACATACCATATCCCAGTCAGTGGCATTTACAGACTGGGGATAGCAGAAGTGAAGAGCAGAACGGGGTCAGTATTTCCCTGAATAATTTCCCTACATAGCTGTCATTCTTTAATAGTTAATAGATAGTTATGCTAGAGATTCACCAAACTTCTATCCCACCAAAAACAAAAAAGGGGATAAAAGTGTCCTGGTTTTGCTGCCAGTCAAATATACTTAGTGGACTAGGGAAGGAAGAGCGCAGCAGTGAAAGTAAAGCCAGAGGAATCCTTTTTCAGCCACAGGACCCTGCAGAAAAGAGGGGGAGCCCCAAGCTGGTAGCATGTCCCACAACAGAATGCTTTTGGCCAGCACAGAGCTGGCCCAAGTCAGCACCTAAGGGTAGGGCTGTGCACCTCCTTGGTGCAGTTGTTGCCTTCGCACAGAGAACCAAGATGGTCCCCCATGCCAGGTCACAGAGATGGATGTGGTTTCACATGTGGTCAGATGGTACATGCCAGCAGATGGGAGATGCAAGTAAAAGGCCATCAGCACTGAAGCCCTGATGCCTATCTTCGTGCACCACAAAGCGTGCCTTATCTCCAACATTATTTCTGTTGTATCACTGCAGAGAATGGATTTTTCTTCTTTAGCTAGTTTTTTGGCATAGCAGTAACAGATAAAAGCAGGGTTTTTTTCACTGCCAGTTCGAGCCATCTGTATCCCTAAAGTATGTGCAGTCAAACCCTACTGGAAATCCCAAAGAGGAACTCCCATTTCAGGCCAGCAGAAAGGAGCAAAGCACCCTCTGATTCTCATTTCCACATTCAAACTTTCTTCGCCTGAGTCTTCTATCCTTTCCTGTCTGCAATAATATAAGATTTTGTTTGGGTTTTGTGAAATAGCTTGAAATAAAGAAGATTGGGTTTCCTGTAGGAGGAGGAAATGGAACAAAGTAGTCTACCAAAGCCTCCCTTAGGTTAACACTGCTTTTTTTTACAGAGATTTATATTTCTGTGACTTGCAGGAGCAGAAAAACTCTTCTTACTAGTAAAAATAATCCATTGCCTGTGCCCTTTGGTCAGCAAATGACAGGTTTGAAAGAAACAAAACAAACTAAGCCGTGTTTTTAAATCTTCTATTCAGCTCTGAACTTTCAGTTGTTGTGCAGTACGGCCAGATTTGATTAAACAGGAAATGTACTTATTTCATCGGATTAAGTAAATGGAGAGAGGAATTTTATTATCAGATTTTCTAAATAACAGCTGAAACATTTTTCAAAGGTTCGTTGTGGTAATGGCAATTAGTTAAACTAATAATTTAAGATTTAACTGTCTACTGCAAATGCAAGGACCTTTGAAAGCCCTGTTTCATTATTTATAGATACAAAACATCTTCACTGATTATATAATAAATCCTGCATGCTCATGTGATCCCACCCAGCTCCTTGACCACTTAATGTGTTCAAAGCTGTAAAACTAACATTATTTCTTTAAAGAATGTTCTGTAAAGTAATAGGGGAAACTTTTTACCCCTTCTCCCCAGTTGGCTAAATTATAATGTATTAAGTCTTCTAAAACATATTCTCATTATCTATAGGACAATACAAAAATGTATAAAGGGAAATTCATATTTCTCTGGCTTATCTTCAGCATGCTGCTACCCTAGACAGTTAACTTAATCAATGATTTGACAAGCTGAAGGATCCCAAAGTGTAGGCCACTTCTATTTAGCAATACTGAAATAAACTGATCTTCAGACAGGGATCTGGAGAAAGCAGTATCCACTTGAAAAAGAACTGTGAGATACTCCAGCCAATAAGTTCTACAAACTCTGCCTCAAAAATATTTGGGATTTCTAATGCTAGCCAGAAGCTCCCTTGATACCACTTAGTATTTAATTCATATATTGAACAGGATGGCTGGCCAAGCGAAAGCTGTGAAGTTTAAGGCCTCCAGCTCTCAGGGAATCTAAAGAACTGTGTGGCTTTATATCACACTGTCCTTGTCTCTCAGAAGGTACTTGAAAAGAACTGAAAATGTACCTTACCTTGGACTCCAAGTAAATGTTGGCTAAAGACATCTTGGAGATCTTATACAGGCAGATGGAGAGTGAAACAGCACACAGCACAAACAATGTGTCATTAATTGCCACCCGAACAGAGACAATGACTTTTCTTTCTGAATTCTGTGTCCTCACCAGTACTGCGCATGTTAAATTCACCAAGAGGAAGAGGAGACTTATGAAAAGAGAAGCCAGGTAGAGGGGCAACCTGGGAGAGCGAGGAGAAAACAATTTTAGTGTCGTTGGTCAGCAAGTGTCAGTCATGAGACAAAAGTTGCGCTCTGAGTAATGAAATCTGCATGTGTTGGGCTGCCACAGCTGACAGAGTAACCAGCTGCCTGAGCCCAAATCAAAGTGCTCCAGATTGCTGGAGAGATTAACCTAGCTCATTTCAAACATGTTTTCACAGTTACACAACAAGCTGTAATGAAAAAAAACTAATATCAAGCAGCAAAATGTGAAAGACTGTTTGCAGCAGAAATACAACAGCACTGTTCTTAAAAACTGCTTTAAATACACATGTATACACATGTATACTTCATACACAGCATAAGCCACCTGGATACTCACTGCCAGGAGAAACCTTTCAAAAGGTTTAATTACATGGAATGGACTGGTTTTGACCATGGATTGGATTTACTACATCATTGCTGCCATGAGAAGCATCACTGACTGCTGATGTTTGCCATCAGATTTCATATTAAATTAGGGAAGTGTCTAACAGCAGGAAAAATCTCTGAGTTACTGGTTTCATAGCATCTCTCTCTGTCCTCCCTTTTCCTAAATACTTTGGTCACAGTCAACTTCTTGAAAGAGACATCAATGAATTTACCTATGCATATTGACTCTGGGTTGGCATTTTGCCATCACGACCTAAAGAAAGGTTCATTTCCACAAACACAGAAGCAGAGCTAGAACAGAAACATGACAAACATAAGCCCAGGAGTGGGACTGGTTTTCTCCATCTGGTTTTTTTTCCCATCTACCCAGCATTGATACCTGGCAATAAGAGTATACCACATACTCCAGAAAAGCTGCTTCTAATTCCTCTTTACTCCTACACAGGCTGGGGAGCTTTGCACTTAAGGAAAAAAAAAAAAAAGGCATGTTTCCATCTCAGGTATTTGCTGACTTCATTATCATTGCTGACCAAGGCAATTACTCATAAGGTTCATAATCTGCAGTCACTGAACAAGAGATTTTGGCCACAGTTTTTCATGCCTGCTGGGAACTTGGAATTTGGCTGACAGCAAATATACAGATTGTCCCTGAGGAATCCAGTTCTGATTGTTTAAAAATACTTTATCCAGTGGGCATCTTTTTCTTTCACACATTCATATTCTTTTCATTTATAATCACTAGTGGGGTTCCACAGGGCTCCGTCTTAGGCCCTGTGCTTTTCAACATCTTGATAAATGACTTGGATGCAGGACTGGAGGTGATACTAAGCAAGTTTGCAGATGACACAAAACTCAGAGGGGCTGTTGACTCCCTCAAAGGCAGGGAGGTCCTGCAGAGAGACCTCGAGACTGGGCATCACCAACCATATGAAGTTCAACAAGGGAAAGTGCTGGATTCTGCACCTGGGAAGGGACAACCCTGGACATACAGACAGAGTAGGGAATGAGATGCTGGAAAGCAGTGCCACAGAAAGGGACCTGGGGGTCCTGGTAGATGGCAAGTGGAATATGAGTCAGCAGTGCCCTGGTGTCCAGGGGGGCATCAGGCAAAGCACCACCAGCCAGTCAAGGGAGGGGATTGTCCCACTCTGCTCTGCACTGGGGCAGCCTCACCTTGAATATTTTGTGCAGTTTTGGGCACTGCAATATAAGAAAGATATTAAGCTATTAGAGAGTGCCCAAAGAAGGACAACGAAGATGGTGAAGGGCCTTGGGGGGAAGCCGTATGAGGAGTGGCTGAGGTCACTTGTTCTGTTCAGCCAAAAAGAAGAGGAGACTGAGGGGAGACCTCATTGCAGTCTGCAACTTCCGTGTGAGGGGAAGCAAAGAGGCAGGCACTGATCTCTTCTCTGTGGTGACTTGTGACAGGACCCAAGGGAATGGCCTGAAGTTGTGCCAGGAGAGGTTTAGGTTGGATATGGGCACTGGAACAGGCTCCCCAGAGACGTGGTTACAGCATCAGATTTCAAGAAGCGTTTGGATGATACTCTCAGGAACATGGTGTGACTCAGCGATGGTCCTGTGCAAGGCTAAGGGTTGCACTTGGTGATCCTTTGGATCCCTTCCAACTCAGCATATTCTGTGATTCTGTGATTCTTTTGGTTTAGCATCAATGCAGCTACAAAGCTGAAGCATAGCTGGCTTCTCTTCAGAGTGCAAGAAAGGAGGGTGTATATCTTTGAGACCTTTTAAATGTCTAACAGAGGGAACTGAAAGCCCAAAAGCCACTGCTTGTGAATCAATGCCCTTCTTTATGGTTATATCTGGCAGTGAGCAAGGATGATGTTTTTTCCTTGCCAGGAACGGAAATTCCCTCTCAGGGGAAGACTGTGCTCATTCTTAACTTTCCAGGGCAGGGTTCTGTTTTTAGGATAAGCAGCAGGAGAATGTAGTTTTTCAAACCTCATAGTCTAATGCTGGAAGCATTGCAGTCCTGAAGCTCCTCTCTTACACGGCTTCCTCCGGACAATGTAGTTCCCAGTTGTAATGGTGGTACATTTACAGCTTTTATTAGTGTCTCAAAGTCTTTAAATAGTGGTCAAGTATCTTCCTTTCCCTTTCAAAGGTTATTTAACAGTCTCATCTCTACTCCCCTGGTGGGAATTTGGGCTTATGAGGAAAGGTACACTCTTACATGCTGCCTTGCTTGTGCAACAGCAAGTACATGCTCTCTTTTTGCTCATTGTAGTCAGAAGGACCTCCTGCTGCAGCACAGTCTGCATGCCTGCATGTAGCATCAAGCTGGTTTGCAACTATCAAGGGCTTAGAGGTTTCCAAGCCAGGCTCCTCCTTGACAGAGTTTAGTAAAAAATAAAGCACTGTCATGCTCTCTTGTCCACACACTCCTGTATGTGCCAGGGTGAGCTCTCATGGCCAGTCACTTGTGCAGCTCTTCACATAATGATCTCCCAGCCCCCTTATTAACATGATGTGTCAGGGAAATGGCTGCTTGATTTGACAATAGAAGTATTGTTGCTGAACTTATGAATAAGCACTGATGGAGATGCAGAGTGTCTCAGGGCAGTTTTAGGGTCTCAGCAGCTGCAGATTAAAGGTAGAAAGTATCTTTACAGCTCAACTACAAGGTTACCTACAAGGCATTAAGAAGCATAGGCAGTTTTTTAGAAAACAGAAAAGTGGGACAGGAGAGGTGCTTCCAGATTGCACCAGCAAAAGTGCAAGCGAAAGTTCAAAAGCCTATTGTGCCTAATCACCACTTTGGGAATAGTCCCTTTAAAGGAGCTGTATGTAATCTGGTTTGGCTGGGGAAGGCATGTGCCAGAGTCTTCTCTTCTTTCTATGGCAGGCTGGAGGCATCCATAAGTTTTTCTTTGAGCTTAAAATCAAACCTCAGATAAATGCAGTGAGATTTCCCTTGTTTAACAGGAAAATCTCTTTGCAACTACTGCATTTTGTATGTGGTTTCCTCTAAAACCATGCAGTGTCTGAGGCTTGCACATGCACACATAACACAGCAAACCTCATCCAAATCCAGTGACAGTAAGAAATATCCAAGCCCAGGGAGACATGCAGAGGTACTGTTTAAATATCAAGTTGGGCTGGCACAGGCTTTACCTTGAGCTCTTTTACTAACATCATGAAGGCTGTGATGAGTAAAGTTTGCTTAAAATTCTGGATTCCTGATAGAATTTTACCAATTTTTTTTGTACCTAAAATAATTCTGATTTCTGAGACCTGTGTCAATACACAGACCACAGTCCTACCTTGCAGTTGTCCCATTTGTGTTGCCATTATCTATTGCAAAATGCAAATACCAGGCAATAAAGTCTGATACTTATTAAAGAAAATGGGAGGGGGTGGGGGAAATCAGAGTGTAAATTCAGAAATGAAGAAAAATCAGATTCAGTAAGTACAGACTACAGACCTGTATGTAAGCCTCAGATCTTTCTATGATCCATCACCCATTTCTCCCTCCCAACCTGATCTAATGAAAGATGTCCCTGCCCAAAGGACAGGGGTTGGACTAGATGATCTTTAAAGGTCCCTTCCAACCCAAACCACTCTGTGAGTCAGTCATCTTTCACCAGCCTGTTACAATTAAGGTTCAGGACATCAGCTGTGGGTGTGCACGTCTTACATCACTTCGATTGTCCAGTATAAGATAGGAAGTGAGGTCAATTTTATTTATATGCTCTTTTAGATCTAGATATTAAAACAAAATACAACTGAAAACCTTTACCAACAGAGATGAATAAGAAAGAAAAACTATACCACATCCTAGAATGATCTGTATTAGAAATACAGTGGGCAAGAGTCAGGGTGGACATGGAGCTATTGTGGGGAGGGTAGGCTGTGCATGAGTAATTCCAGTCACAATAAGTATTTAGGAATGAAAACACTCCAAGAGCTACATGCAGGGTGCTAATGTAGTCACTTCATAGGCATTGACTAAATATCACAAGCTCTCTTTGCCTCAAGAAAGACATTTTCAAGCAGCTTTCAGAAATAAAACCTTGACACAAGTATTGGTAATGGATGAGGTTCAAAGCTTCTAGCTCTCACCTCTAAAGCCATCCAGGAACACGTCCACACAGTCCTATACCACCCTGACCTGCAGCCCAGGTTTTGTGCAAAGCGATGCTCTGTTTCTCTTGCCTGTGTGCACCATCAGGGGCTGGCACACTTGCCCTGGGAGCTGGCTGGGACCTGTTCAGTGAGTACTGTGCTTGTCACCCAGCCCATATTCCTGGATTTCCTGCCCATAGAAACCAGAGTGCAAAGGGGGGTTCAAAGATGTGGTTCAGCCTAAAGTACACACTCCTGAGGCAGCCATCACACCCTGCATGTCCCATGCCCTCACCAGACCAAGCACAGCCCACTCCAAGCCTGCTCTCACTTGTACTGCCGTTATACCAGACATGGTTCCTGAAGTACTTGCTCCATACGATTGCTCCTCCAGCTGTACCAAAACCAATTGGATGACAAACTTTCTAGGGCAAGGACAACGTTAATATTTGTCCTGTTGATACAGTACTTATGTTCTCCTAACAGTCAGCAAGTAACAAGTCAGATTTCAGTTTCAAATTCTTCTGTTTTCCTATCCTGAATACATATTGTAAATTCTTCCTTTAGAATGGTGACAACCTCTCTCCATCCCCTCTGCCTAAACAACATTGCCCAACTGAGGTTTTTAGTCATTGCCACAATAAACTTTAATTTACTGAGCTCTTCCTTAGCTTTCTGGACATTTGGTGTACTTTCAAGTACTTTCTGGGAGTTCCTCCTGCTCAACAAGATGTCAAACAAATCTCCCCACCTAAATGCAAAGCTACCATAAACTCAACTATATGAAGTCAGGGGAGGTTATCTGTAAGCTCCCAAACACACCATCAATTTGAATTCATTCTCTCTACCTCTTTCCCTTCACAATCCTTCTATCATCTTCCCAAAACTTCTAAGTCTCTTATTACCACTGACCTTATGTGTTAAAACATACCCACTCCTACTCATTCCTGTCAAAGAAATACATCACGCTGCTTCTTTTACCAAAGCCCTGGATCTGAATTTACCTGGCAATACAAATGTTAAGAACCTGTAAACAAATCCCCAGGGTGGGTGTTTTCCACTTGCATTTGAAATATTTGCCTTTGAAATACGTGACTATCTAAAACAGTCCTTGTGTTGGGAAAGGACACAGTCTTCCAAATGTCACGGGGAGAAGTTGACCTCAGAACCACCATTGTAAAACATGAGTATAGAAATATGAATAGCTCAGACATGAGCGTCACAAATTAGAAAAGTTGTATCATTTCTCAAAGAGCTTGGCTACTCTTCTATATCACATTAAATGTTTACAGAGTTTTTACCTGTATTTCAGTAGCTCTGGGGAATATTTTGACTTCGCTTTGAAAATCACCTGCAAAACAAAAAAATATTGCATCAAACATAGCATATATGTCAGTAGAGAAAGATACTGTGATCCACAGAAATCGTGTCTCACAGGTCACAAGAAATGTAATGACAGGTTTCATTACACAACAGATTTGCATGGATTGCTTGCCCATGGCAGGCAAGCTTTAAGTAAAGTATTAAAACCATTCAGCAAGTGTTCATGATGTACTTGTGCACAAATAATCTACACTATTATTTTCACTTATTCTGTCTTAGGAATAAGGTCCTTTATACCAGTATTCACAAGAGGACCAATGCCAGTAAAATTATAGAGGCAAATTATTATAGGCTCTTACATAACCTAGCAGTCCATGTCTCTCACATAGACCAACTCATACCAGGTCCGATGCTCTGTTTCCATGTAGAGCCCAACACAGTACCCTGGCCTTAAATTAGATATATACATTTGTATCTATCTCGATTGCCAAAAAGATGCCACTGAGAGCCAAACTCATTATTTCACTCCAAGGTATTATTTGGTTTCTGCTGACTGCCTCTTCACTATAGCGCTTTTACAGAGATAGACTAGGCCCAGCAGTTAGCCTGATGTAACAGAAAAGACAAAATACTGACATGTTTTCTGTAGCTAGGTAATATCAGCCACAGGTGTTTAACCATCATCACAAATTAGACAAAAATATACTACCATATTTTATATCTTGTTTATTAAAAAATTACAGGAAAGCATCATCACTTTTTTTACAAGCTAACATGGTTTCCAAACAAACTCAGCTTACAAATGTTCATTTAAAACAACACCAAAGCACACTGACTGCTAGTATTACAAAACCCCCATGCTGTATGACTTATTCTGTGTTGTTTCCTAATCATTTTCTCCTCAAATTATCCTGCCTTATCCATTTAACCTGGTTTTGCATGCCCTTTAGTAACATTTGCATAATATTTGCTATGATTATGATGCTTTCCCAAGGAAACAGGATTTACACGATCACAATGTATGTGTAGGCATGTGTCTGCCTGTCAATCTGTTTATCTGTCCTTTACTAATCTTAAAATACTCTTGTCAGAGAATTGATGGAAAAATACTTGAAGTATCAAAGGCATGATCCTTTATCACCCTCCTAAAAATTAGTCACTCTAAAGAAAGAAGAAACTCTATAAATGCTTCTGATTTATGATCTCAGTGAGGAGAGCCCTGCATAATGGTTCTACACACCACCCAGTATGAGTCCACATAGTAAAATATTGTAAGAAATGCTCCAGTTATGGAAACAAAGTCAATCATGAGACATAGATCTGGAGAAAATCAGGCTCCACTTGTTCCAGTGCTCCTGGAACAACTTGTCATTTAACTTCTATTCACCATAAACAGCTGCCTTGACACGGAAATTTTTTTGTGACGCATCAGCCTGCTTAGCACTAGCTGAAGCAGCAAAGAACACTAAGCTTTTTAGCAGGCTGAGAAGAAAATTGAAAACTTGGGGGGAAAAAATCTCTAAAAATATTCTGCAACCATTGATACTGTTTTCAAATAGATCTGGCAGTATCCCTTATGGAAGATTTTTGTGATTCATTCTCCAAATTCCCGGGTCATGAAATCTCACAGGAGTTCAGGAAGTTGTATGTAAGTTCAGGAAGCCTTGTGAACATTCTGCATTTTTGCTGTGCATAAAGAGTAGCTGTCACTTTTAGAGAAGACATGGGGTTCAAAACACTTTCCACTTACTTTTTGAACAAGACTTAATGCCTACCCTGCTTATTCTGGAAGAGACTGTGAGCAAGCAGGAGGGAACAGATCCCTGACCTCAATGAAACTAAACAAGTAAAACTTGTCTCTAGGCCCATTCCACAATCCTCACCTGTTGTGAGTAGCACTTACTCACATATGTTGTACCGTTAATTTTGACAGCTTTCAGGAGTTGCACTGAACAGAAGAGTTCAGTGCCCCTGCAAAGAACCGCAAAAGACAAGCAATTTCCAGTGGGCAATGATTTGTTCTGAGTTCAAAAAACACAGAAAATTTCAAATTCCTAAATACCATCTCCTGTAGTTCCCCAAAAATGATCCACTCATCCCTACAATGTCACAGAGCAGTCCTATCACATAAACCAATCCAAGACTACACTTCCCAGCAAAATCTCCATGGATAACTTAGCTAAAACGAAATACTACGACCCTGCTGCAGATCCAGCAGGATCTCCAGATTCAAGATCACCAAAACAGCTGATACTGTGATTCTATATTTGGTGGACCTGTCAACCATAAATGTTCTGAATTTTATCAGAGCAAAATGACCATTAAGAAAGAAAATAAACACTGTACCAAAAATGAATGTTGTATAGAATGAAAGCTACAATATGGACAGTTCTGACCAATTCACTGCTAGGCAGAAACACAGGCAGCCAACTTCTGCCACCTTTGCTTAAACACTGATGGGGCCTTAGTTCATGAGCAGCCTTGCTAGAAGCAATGTGATTGTCAAAAATTAAAGGGCCGTTCAGTGGGAGTAAGGATGTCAGAAGCTGATCTCAATATACCTTACATGCGTAGGTGCAGCTTTTTGCTTTTAACAGGCATTTAGCTCAAGAGACTGGTTGCTCAATGGCCCCTCCTCACAGCAGTGTTGAGAAAGCTTCTAGTCAATATCTGAGTCATATAAGCAAGTCTTCCAGCAAACCAGAGCAAACCAGACTATTCCTAAGAATAGAATAAACAGCAAGCAGAAGGCAGGCTCTTCTAAAGCAATCTTTCAGAGAGCCCGAAGATGAACAGTAACATGGAAAACTCAGTGAAAATCCTTGCTAATTTTCTAATGTCTAAAGGGTTACTTTTTCTTCTTAAAAGTATTTCCCCCTTTGCTTGTTTTTTGAAGGGGAAATATCCTGTTTTGACTCCTTGTTTCTGCCAAAGGATTGGAAACCTCAAACGAGATTCTCACACTCCCTCCTCCACTCCCCTGAGGTATATGTCTGGCATAGAAAACTGCAGCAGTTCAAAAGGAGTCCAAAAAGCCTTCATACAGCCAGGGAAAATTCCCATTGCAGGAACTGATGTAAACAGCTGACCTCAAAGGCATTTTGCCAGGCCCCAGCAGTGGGGATGGCATGGGAGCCCATCAGCAGCTCGATTGCAGAGATCTGCAGAGCTGCTGGGCAGAAGAATAAGCGGACAGGGTCAGGTTGTTTTAGCTGATGGGGTATCAGCTACGGTTATGAACGTCAATCAGGAGCCACTTTGGCCCTACAAGTATCAATGAAACTGGTGTCAAAGCCAAGTCAGATATTCCCAAAAGAAAAAGAAAATCTCCCTGAAGAAATTTTAGGTCCATGCTCTGATTTAGTGGAAGTGACAATGGCACAAACCTCTACAGTACCTCCAGTACGAGCTGATCAAGTCACACTCACAGGAACCACAGCTCAGCTTACCAAAAAGCCTCAGGTATGTGACAAGCACTTGCATATGTCTCAAGCTGGCCCTCTGCACAGGAATGAAGTTCAGCTTTATTCACCAGTTCTCATTTCAAAAACCCTATAAGAAGCATAGCATGTACTTTTCCTTCCCAGTTACTTTCAACATGGTTCCTCTCTTCCTCTTTCATGGGCCATGCAGACTTCTCTTTGAACCTTGAAAATCTGCTACAACCTCATGCAGGCCCAGAGCCCCTCATCAACAACACATGTACCTTTCTCCTGCTGTGTATCTTCCAGGCCAAGGCCCACCTTCCCCTTTCTCTCTTTCTCCCATATTCATTCTTTCATTTGGTTCAGATTTCCCAAAATAGGCAAGTTTTCTCTCTGCTCTCTAAACTCTGCACAGTTTGTAAGGCCTACAGACAGAGGCAACATGACTCACTACCACATTCGCTCTTCCGTAAGTTGGTAAAAATAGTCCTAAAAGGACAGGGATGATTGTGGGGCTGACAGCCACAGTAAATTTTCATGTATAGCTTTCCTATCAAATTATTTTCCAAGTCAAATGATCTCATTCTTCATGTCAGATGCTGACAGCCAGCCAGTCTGCAGTTGCAATTTGTCTTCTGTAGATACAATAATAAGGACAACATTTTAAAGCAAATATATTTGCTGATGCTTTACCATGCGTAGTTAGACTCCTGTGTAGTTCTATGTACATCTAAAGCATGCTTTAAATTAATAATAAGCTTTATAATACACGGTTTACTCATTTCTACTAAAAAAAATAAATATTTCTCTAAATAAAAAGACCTCTCTGTTCTCTCACTGGTGAGAACTTTTGAAATGCTATCCTCAGTAATTAGAGTATGAGAAGTTCCCTTAATTTTCCTCCCAGAGCTAACATGTACCCCAGTTCCACTGAGATACATGTAAACTCTCCGAAAGCCTTGTGCTGTTTCTACCCCACCCTGCCAGGCAGTTTTGGCATGGCCAGCTCCCCTCTGAACTGTCTTATTCTGTACAATTTATCTTGATTTGAAAGTCCCTGATTTTATCAGCTCTGCCTGGAAGGCAGGGTAAGCTTCTCAATGTGGATGCCAGAGAAAAGGGAAGGTGGTTAGGGAGGAGGAAGGAGGGGTAAAATCTGCCTACCAACCCTTCTCCACCCATACAGTCTCTCACCTCTTTAGCTCAGCACTACTTTCTCTAGGTCCTGGAGAAGTTCCCAACCTAATGATAAAATCTACAGTCCAGCAAACTGTTTGCTGTGCCTGGCCACAACAGAGGTCTGGGATTTTCAGTGTCCTCTATAGCTCACGGTCTTTGGCCGTGACCTTGTTCTTTGAGTCTGTAACCCCCCATCCTAGCCTCCCTCCTGCTTCATTTGTATTCTGTTCCCCAGGGAAATGCGAAGTCTGAGCAAACAGGACAAAGTGAAGCAAGTCCTTCTGCCCACCGCTCACATGCACCAAAAAAAGCAACTAATTTTGTTTCCCAGAGCCTCTTTACTCTTTTGCCCACAGCACTAACTGTAAAGTCTGAGGACTAAACTCTGTCTCCTCTTGTCAGGGGCAGGGAAGATAAACGAAAGAGTCCTAGGATCCTTATTGTCTTTTCCACTTTAAAATGAAAAATATGTTATCAAGCAGCAAAATAAACCCATGGAAGCTGCACGTGTAAGGCAAATATATCTATGGGATTTTTGGTCTCTCTAGGTGGAAATTCACACTTCAACTCCTTATCTGATGGATCAGGATCACGGAGCTGCTGTGGCTTGATACAGTGCAGTCACTTGCTGTTGTCGTGCTATTGTTTTACAGAAGTGCCACCAGATCTCACCTTCAGTTGAGATTTACTTTAATGATTTTCAAGTAGACAGAGGGTCTACCCCCTTGAGAAGATAGGTCACATTATTATTTTTTCTTTAGAAGAGAATGAATACAGACACAGGATTAATAGATTCTAATATATTCAGTTATTTCGTTAGAAATCACATTAATTTTCTCCAGTATGGGATTTCTGAGAGGAACTAATATTATATCTGCAGCACCTTTTCTATTCTGCTTTAAGCAGGGCATTAAAACTGTAGCAAAAGACCCTGAACTTGGCTCTTAATCCAAAGGTCCCTTGTTCTGGGTTAAATCTATTTTGATTCTAACTTCCCTTTTGCCCACAGGTCCCCTGCTTTAGCAACCTGCCTCAACACATTGCAGCTTCTTCTGCTGCAATTGCTGATGCTCAAGTCTGGGAACAAAACTCCACTGTGCTGATGTCATCAGGGCTTATTTGTCTTGCTACACATAAAACACAGTTAAAATTTCCCTATTGCTTTGGAATACCTATTAAAAAAGAGAATAGTTGTGGCTAACTTTCTGTCAAGTTCAAAGGTGCTTATTATTCTGAAAAATACCCTCAGGCACTTGCCAAATGAGGGTTTTTGTTTGGCCAGGAGGATTTGCAGTATTTTTTAATAACTTTGTTCCTTCTCACATCTATGTTTGAAAGTTTCCCTAGCAGTGCCACATATAGAAATGGTGGGTGCTGTACAGTAGATAATAAATACCTGCAAATTCCAGAGACCCATGGGGTGTCTTCCAGTCCTCTATCCCTATCCTATACACAGTTCACTTCTTTCCCTATAGTTAAGCACCAGTGAAATAGCAAGGTTTTCATGCAAGGAGACACAGCTGCAGACCCTTCTTGCCTGCCTTCTAGAGACTGAAAGGACAAAAGTTGTTTCTGAACAGGTCTGTGAAGTTATAAGCCATTACTGAAAACAAAATTTACTCTCCCCACCCCTTTCACACTAGTTCTTGCTTGCCTACTGTGGAAAGCTAGATGCACATTAAATACAAGATGCTGAATTTCAAGCCAAACCACCTTTTAATGGTTAGAAGTAAAGAATTAATAGCAGTGAATTAAAAATATGTGCACTTATTCTGTGTCATATTATATTTTTACAACGACTGTACTTGTATTTCTTAAAGCTTTGTTTCATCTGGGGAGATATTTGAGATGAGATTTCACTGACAGCAAGCAGCTCTAGAGTAAACAATACTAATCTTATACCTATCTATACTAGCCCACAGTATTTAAAGATTATGATGCACATCACAAACTCTGAATGTGTCTTGCAAATATTGTTTCAAAAGACTCACAACAGCCTTCAAAATAGGTAACTATTACACTCTTTTGCAGAGGGGCTTAGAAGAAGATCATGAGGACTCAGGCTGACAAAGCAGGAATTGTCTCAAAGGCAGAACATTTGCCTAAGCATTTTTTCTGTTTCCAACCACCGGCTTGTGCTTCCTGAATACTATCAGACAGCAATGCTAAAAATAAGTTGAAAGAACATATGTGTGCATTCTGTGTGCTCTCTTTTTAGATCTTCCTCAGACGAAATGAATGTTACCCACAACACGAAGCCTCCTGAGTGCTGACACTCTAATGAGAGACTGCTGTGTCTCTCTGTGCTCACACCGGTCTCGGCTTCTCTTGGCCAAGAGCCAGAATGCTGCATTCTGCCTGCAGACTTCCATGGCAGCCCTTCAAGTGTGTCTGAGGGAAGGATCTGATTTAAGGCTACGACTTAATCCCAGCACTACGATGGAGATGGACTGTGTGATGATGGACGTTTGGCCCTGGGAAACTGTGCAGTTATCAAATAACTCTCACAATAGCTATGGGATAAAGCAAAGGTCACCACATGCCTGCGTTGGATTTGAGTAGCATGTAGATGAAAGGTTTCTGTAATCCCTTAATGTATCTCAAGTCTCAGGGAGTGGAACAGGGTGAGTTAACAGGTGTTTCAGACACTGAATCCAGAACACTAAACCTAAGCTCAAAACTGTGTATGTGGTTCTAAGCATTTAATACCCTCTACAACTCAAGTGATCTTCTTACAGCTGTCATGCTTACATTGTTGCTTTTTCGGGTCTGGGATGGCAGGTCTTACAAGCAGCTCATCTCTCCAGACAGGCTGTTCAGAATTGATCGGCCTGTCATCACCACAGAGCACTGTTAAACACCATGGGGACTAAAGAAGCATCCAGACCTAGGTACCAAGCTGGTTCCAAGTGGGGCACACAGCAACTCCCAGAGCATCCTGAGCACTGCCTGGTGTGCTCCAGGGCTGGCTGATGCTCTCCCGACCAACTGCTCCTGCACTGAGAAAGTGGACTTTGACAAAGGTCATCTGGGTGCAGGCTTGGCATCCTGCTCCAGGCACTATAGTGGGATTGAGGAGATAGAGAACCCAGTCTCTGCCCTCCTGCAAGCTTCCTGTGCGATCTTAGGCAAGCTCAGCAGGCTTTCTTTGCCTCAGCATGTCAATATCCCACCCTGCAGCCCAGTGCAAGATATCCAAATTCACCATAAATATTTCCAAGCAATTCTAACTGCAGCAACCTGGAGCACTGTGCAGCCTAATTCATCTGGCTCCTTAGCTGTCAGTGGCACAGATAAACTCTCAGGAGCTATTTCTGAAATGATGATACTATATCCCTTTACCCCACTGTACAGTTAATTTACCTTTATATCAGAGAGTCCTTGAAATAGAGGGTGTATCTCCGTACAGCACTTAGCACTTAGTGGGGTCCAGATTCAAATCTGTTTATAATACTGATAATTACAGAAATTTGAGTCTGCAGTAAGACTTGATCAACAGTTTTAATTGTGCTACACATAGAAATCTCACTCAGAAACCTGCTAGCTAACTTAACTAAAACTAGGATGTGGAGGGGGGTTGCTGGCAAAATTAGAAATTACAATTCTGACTGCACACAGACATCAAGTCTGGTAAGTCAGCAGGTTTATAAAGTCTAATGATAACAACAACAAAAATAAAGCATAATAATAGAACGGCATTTTGGGTGTCCAGCTTTCAAGCTCTCCTATACATTTTTTCCTAAACCTTTAAATTAAATGACACCCATTATATAGACAGTAGATATATTAATTGCCGTTCCTGCAATGATCACTTCAGGCTTCAGTTTCATTGTAACATTGATCACTTGCAAATAGATCAAAAGTTAAAATAAACTACTAAACAACTGAAATGTGCTTTTTGCATTGCCAAGGTAGATTTGTAAATTACATTTTTCTCATGATTCTTACAAAATACTGCTTTACCATTCTGTCAGATTTAATCAATCAAATATCTATTGCTTACCTGTGTGAAGTAAAGATTCATCAGGGTCAGGGTGAAAAACTGGAGGCAGACTGGGAAGCAATAGAGAAGCCAGAAGATGAAGGGGCTGAGAGAATTTGCTGTAACAAAGTCTTTGAAGTAAAATGAAAAGAGCACTGTCCTAAGAGAGGCCCAAAACAAGCACAGAAACAGAAAGACAGTTTGGTAACTGAACCTCTTGTGCCTGTAGTGAAGGACCAGCCAGAGCTGAACGTAGATGAACACAAAAAGCAGTGAATAAAAAACAGTATATACAATGGTCAGGCCCAGCTTCACATACGGAGGGACAGCTGGCGTCAGGGTCGGCGGAAGGGTGTCATTTTTCAGTGGGTCCCACTCTGGGGCCTCCATTTGATATCAGGAATCGTCAGAATTATTTATTAAGTTTGGCTGCCGCTGTTGCCTCCTCCTCCTTCTCCTTTCATCTTCCTACAGCATAGGAATCAAGAAAATGAAAGAAAACAAGCTGCACTTCCTCTTTGGCAGCTCACTGTGGGCTGGTAGCACATGATCACAATTCAGAATGATTCATTAGGACTGCCTTTGTCAGCAATTGGCAGGGAACAGCTCAGAAAGCTGCTCTTTGCTGATGTCTCTGCACAAATCTTTACCATCCTTAAGAAACAAAGAAATCCACCGGCCCCTGAATAGCTTACTGGTGATTTTTTTCAAAGGAAAATTATCTGGATTTTAAATCAGTTAAGTAATGTTCTATTTTCTACAAGAAGCAAGTACCTGACATTTTCCCAGTGGCAGCCACGCTGTATCTTTGTAGTATTTTTTTTGTCTTGTCTTCTGTTTAACAAGTACTTCATTTAGCTGCATTTTGTTAGAAATCATTTTAAGCACCTTCAAGTGTTCATGAAATTCAATCTGCTGTAGTAAGCTGTAACAATTCAGCTCAGCATTGCAGAAAGCTTTGTGTTCATAAAGAAATACACAATTTGCACACAAATCTAACACATTCAGTTTCTTCTTTTCTTGTAACATTTCATTGGAATGGGAGAAAAGGCACATCAGGGCTTCCAAACATAGCATATACAGGAACAAATAAACCCTCCTTAATACCCAAATTCACCAAAGCATATGTGCAGCTACAGGTTCTTTTCTTCTTGGTTGTTATTCGTGCCATCTCTGTGGAAACAGCTGACCAGACACACCTTCTCACAAGTGTGCAGATGTGCCCTTGGGATGAAATCTATAAATTAATAGGTGCTATGACAGGTTGATGGGTTTGACTCACGGGGGTGAGAACTGAGAACTGAAACTGAGTGGTTTAGACATTCATAGCGTGGTTAAAATACTTCATATCTCTCTAGGTCATGTATAGTGTCATATACCATAAAACAACAAGGTTTTTAAAAGATATCTTGGTATCATGGCTGGAGCACAGACATGTTTTGCTCTATCATTTACAGTAAGCTGATTACAAGAAGTGCTTATTACTCAGAACAACCCCCAGGGAGGACCCCACATTTCTGGTGAACAGTGAAAAAAGATTCCTTTAGTGAAAGAGTCCATGAAGTGAACTGACACAGTGTACGTGGTATGCAGAAACTGACACTGAGTATCAACTAAAAGAATGATTTCCATCTTAATGCCTTGCACCATAAGGAGTTCAGAAGCACTATTTTGTTGAAAAAGACAATTACTATAATTGTGCTTATTAATATAAATAAGCAGATATACGTTTCAATAATTATTTAAAAATATCTCTAAGTGACCCCCATTCTGCCCTAAAAATACTCACACTGAACCTTTAAAACTATGTTCCAAAAGTCATGGTTAGCTGCTGAAACATAAGCAGTTTGATTTTCAAGGTGCTAAGCAAACTCAGGTCCCACTGACTGCAAAGGGATTTGTGGGTTCTCAGTGCTTCTGTAAATCAGGTCACTGCTTAAGGTGTCTAGATATGATTTTAAGACCCTTACCAGGTGCAGTCAGCTTTGGAAATCCTGGATAAACAGCTTACAGAAGCAGAGCAATACACAGCACTGGGCAACTGTGGATTTGACTACATAGAGAAATATACAGAATGCAGAGTGAATATGGGAAAGAGGAGAGAGGACAAGAAATGTCCAAACACTAAAACCCATGTACATGTACAGAGGTATGCTATAGCTTGTACAGAAGGAGGATTTTATGGCTTCATCATAAATGAGCTTGGACTTAGTTTTAAATTAGCACCTGCTCCTAGATCCTGTGTATTTCCCAGAATGACAAGAACAAAAAAAAGTAAAATTTACTTTATACCAGGGTAGAACATGGAAAACTGAGCAGTTACTGAAGCAAGTTTGTCAAAGAAGCTGTCTGTGTTCAGGCCATAATGTTCATTAGGCAAAGGTGGGGAAGATAAAGGGCCTGAACAGGAGTTTAGACAATATGCATAACAAATAGAATAGATACAACAAATTATATTGTAGTACATACTACAGAAGGCTCCATCTCCCAGATCAGGAAAACATCTCCCCTATATTGATACATACTTTCTTCTAGCAGACAAGGAAAACATCTTCCTAGCCTTCCTCGGTTCCACTGGTAGGCCAGCCTTGTATATCCCTCAGCCTCCACAAGCCCAGTGCACACACGCACTATCTAGAGGACATAGTACAGCAATGATAAATTCAGTGGGTTACACGCCACCTCTCTGCTCTCAGCACAAACTTTCTGATTATGCTTGTGGCTAACATTAACCCACAGCGGCCATAAGCACTGTACTGCTTTTTATCAGTGACCTATAACAACTCTTCACAGCTTGTACTATGAGTCTTTAACCTGTTGCATGAGGGTAAAGGCTTCCACAACTCGTCTTCAGCAAAACCACCAGGATTTGCCTGAAGTATATTATAAAATGTACAGGGAAGCAAGCATCCATTTCCACTCAACAAACAAACTGCAGGTTTCCCTTAGTGCCCTTGTGGATGTGATTGCCAACTCCAGCTTCATGGGCAGCACGTTGTAAACAACTAAAAAAAATGGCTGCTCTCTTGGTCAGGTGCTGCCAAGGGACAGCAAAGAACAGTGGTCACACAGATTGCATCACAGACACCTGTCCTTGCCAGCAGGCGAGCAAAGGTTTGTTGTGAAACTCTGCAGCATTATAAGAAACTTCCTAACAGATCAAATTTCCCATGTGGTTCTTCAGTGCTTAAGAAGTTCAGCCAGTGCTTGGTCCTCAGCACACTTCTGCTGCTGTCCAGGGATGTTGGGCAACTCCAAATGATCTGTTTGTTACTGTTTTCTTTCTAAGGGTCATTGTTCAAAGAAATAAGCTGAAGTGGACCTCCAGGGTTCAAAAAGTTGCTTATCTAGGCTGTCCCATTGCTATTTGACTTGAAATGAACAAAAGTAGATAACATAAAGTGCCTGGATTCTGCAAGTTGAACTGCTGCCCCTACTGCTGTGCAAAGAGGTCTTGAGTTCTCATCTTTGATGTCACTCGCAGTTAATGAATTTGTTGGCAAGACTGTTAGCGAATCACTGTGCTAAAGCACTCTGCACCTAATGACTCTCACTAGTGTGTAGTTCCAGAAGTCTTTTAGAAAGGATTTTGCAGAAAAGAGCACTTCTAAGAAGGGAAGAAAATAAAGTAATTTAAGATTTTGTTAGATAGTGAACCATCTTCATATTTGATATTATACTGCAGTAGTCCAGAAAAATTGTCCTTAGTTATATGGGCAGGTTTTTTCATTCTTTTGAGGCTTCATGATTTCTTGGATTGTGTTTCTCATGACAACCAGGCTCTCATGGTTTAAATGTGAAGTACTAAGTAAAGTATTATTGCTGAATGTTAAAGTCCACTCTTCTTCAAAAGTTGCTTTTCTCTAAAATTATCTGAAAAATTGTGAGGCCGTTCCATTCAGTTCCACACCAGCTGAGATGTACCAGGAGAGGTTGCCAAATAGACAGGCTTCTTGCCAAACCAAAGAAAAATAAAATTATATTCTGGTTCAGCATTTTCTTTTGCTCCATACCCCATGACGCCTATGATTACAAAATTCAACAACAACATTTTGAAGGAAATAATTCTTCCTATATCTATTCAAAAAAACAAGTGTGACAAAAATCTGATGTTGGAAAAGATCTGTCAAGTAGCTGGTGGAGAGTGGGACTATTAAGACTCTGAATTAGACAAAGGGTAGAGATACTGTGGAATTCATGATGATTTAATACATCTAATTCTTCACAACACTTACACCTCCTCTTCTTTCCTTTTGTATGTCACAAAAGTACCAGCTCAAGTCCTTGTACTCCACTCATTTAAATTTAAATAGTTTTTTGGAAAGGCAAATTCTTCTGAAGCTTCTTGTATTGCAACTATTAAAATAGAGAAATTTAACTATGTGGTGTAAGCACACACCTTCTGCATCTAGTACTAAGGCCAATGTAATTTGGTGCGTTACATCACATGATCATCATCATCATTTCCTGATGAGAGATGGTGGCCAGGATACTGAAAAGAATGGACATTCCCTTGGAACAGATTCAGCAATCTGATTTAACTACTGGGCAGGCACCTAAACCAGTGCCCATTCAACATGACAGATGAATTAGCCAGTAAATCCTGAACCTGTAATTTCTCATTTGTCTTTGGATTCTGAGAACCTTATTTGAAGCCTTTTCAACGCTACTGCATTGCAGAGCAAGAGTACTTAGCCTTGGAAAATACTGCTGATGGGATACTTCTGTCCTTCATTTGGAATGGGCTCATCTCCAAGTCATGGACTACGTCACCATCATTGGGATCCAGCGTCTCTGTGCCATTCAACATTTAGCAACTCTGTTAAAAGCCAAACAGAGGGCTGGGAACCAGTTTTCTCAAGGGAAAAAATGTCCTTTCATTGTTGGGCTTTCTCTGTGCCTGGGCATGTTAGATTTCACTATTAATCCTGACACAGACCTCATACTCAAAACATGTCTAAATAAAACCCTCATAATAAATCAGGATTTATTATTCTAATCTCATTTAGGTCATACAGTGGCGTAAACCAGTACAAATGCAGGGCCTTAACCCATAATCCGTAAGGCAGCCAAAGCTTCCATTGGCTTCACATAAAGTAATGCCTATGCATCAAGGGCGGGAACTCACCACACAAACTAATCAGAGTAATGCAAAGCAAGAAAAGAATGGTTTCATGGTTTCAGCCCATACTTGACCAGAAGAAAACTTTCTAAAATAATTAAATATGTTACTCAGTGAATAGAAGAGTGAAAGAGACACAGCCTGAAAATGGAAGCATTAGAACACCCCTGCCTTTGTGTCCTTTTCGAACTTTGTCTCTATTAGGGTGGTTAAACATAGATTTCAGACTCTCCTGCAGACTTTTCCATTGCACAACACGCAATAGGAGCAGTCTCAAACTTGGAATTGCAGTCTGTATTCCAGACTGGTAAGAAAATCTTGGACACCCTGACATTTATGTCTATGATGCATGTTCCTTGGTTTTTAAAGCAAGACCCAGTAAACTGAGATCTAAGAATAAAAAGAA